GGACAGCACATCCTTACGCACTTCAACTCCAATATCAAACAACTCTCCATCTTGCTCGCGCTTTTGAGTTTCCACCGGAGCCGACGCCGGCTGCTTAATGTCAACTGTCGAAGTAGACGCAAAGTGCGAAAGTTGTGGGAAACCTGCCCCCCCTTCCGCATCTGCTCGTTTCATCGCAGCTAGATACTCTTGCGGTTTGTTGTTCCATGTGAAAGCTCTGCCCACTCCTTGTGTGGGCGCTGGCGGTTGTGCTGTTCCTGGAGCAAGTCCCTGGCTTGAGCTTCTTGGGCCCGATTCTGAAGAGTCATCTCTTGTTGAAACCGAGGGTCGACTATTATGGCCACGCAAACCTCCCCCAACGACATCCTTGATACGTCCAAAACCAGACCTAGCGTCGTTCATCTTTCCAGCGACACCTTTGAAGATATTCTTCCGCGAAGCCTCCTTGTCACCCGATCCATCAGCGACACTAACGGCGGAACCAGGTGGGTGGCCCGAGTAAACATCAGGAGTTTCATCCAGTCGCTTCGGGTCCAGTTCGTTCTCAGCCGGCGCTGAATAAACCCGTTTCGGGTTCGGATTCGCTTCCTCCTCTTTCCAAGGTACTGCGCTGCTCAATTCTGGACTATGGTGTGGTAGCTCAGCGACGCTTCTCCGAGGCTTGCCATGCCACAGCCATTTGGGCCGTTCGCCATATGCTAAGCTAGCAAAAGTGCCAATATCGAGAGTCTCGATATCAGCGAGTCCTCCTTTGTCTTTTCCTGACACCATCCCCATTACTAGCTCACCCCTTTTACCTCCGACTTCTGTCAGCGTTGATTTCACAGCCCTCTGTACACCCCAGCTTTCTCCAGCAGCAGCCTTGGCGGAGACAGTGTAGAGCTTGAGAAGAGTTTGACGGTCCAGCCTTCTCGTCTTCTCGAGCTTTTGCGACTTCTGAAAGTGACCAATACCACGCTTAGTGTTTTCGAGGTCGAAGGCATCCTTTGATACTGGGGCACCGTACCAATGAAGGCGATTTCGAGCACCCATGAACATGCCTAGTAATGCCGCCACTGTGCTGGGACCTAATATGCCATCGGTAGGCTCGAAGTTATAGTGTTCAGCACCAATTTCGATCCACCAGTTGTTGATGGCCATTTCTGTCTTGTCGCAAAGGAGTCCGTCGATGTATTGGTGACCCAGCTTGTCAAACATATATAATGTGACCTGACAAAGTTTAATAAGTTCAACTACAGCTTGCGGAACAGGTACTCGATCGCTCGTCCTGTAAAGCTGCAAGAACTTGAGCTGCGTTGCTTCAGTTGGATCTGACAGAGTCATGCCCGATCGCCCAGAACATCCTAATCGTTTCAAATCCTCGTTGACGATAAACGAGGAGCGATATTTTCGGATATCACCCTCAGGTACCATAATAACGGTGAGCGCCGAAGGAAAGTTGCTCAGATTGGTAACCATAAGCTCTCCAAGCTCAGTCTCCTTGGGCCGCGCATGCGAATCCTGTAGTTGGTCGAAGTAGAAGCGTAATCTTGGAGGCCAAAGACTCTCATCTACTGGAACAGAGAGCACACCGACAACGACTGAGTGTTTTTCATCTCCAGTATAAGTGACGATCAGGAGTGTTGGTGGTTTTCGAGAACACGCCCATTGCTCGACTAGGTACGACTCGTATCCGCGTAAAATGCCTCGGCGCTCGACAACGACAACATTGCTACCTTCTTCGAGATACCTGATGCTGTGTTAGCCTTGGAAGCTTCAGGAGTGCTTGTTCGCGACGCACCGAAAGGCGAAAGGATCGGCAAAGACAAGATTTTTGCGCTTCGGCGACGGTAGAGGTTGAAAATCCGCAGCTTCATTGTATGCAGAAACTTCTAACGGAGGAATACCGTTTGGAGGACTTTCTCGCGTGGTGCTAGAGTTCGAGGTGGTCGCTGTACGGGCGACAGACCCCTTGGCGGTGGCGCCTGTTGAGAGTTCATCGTCGACTCGAAGTCGAGGATCTGGAAATCTGAAAGCCATGGTGTCGTCATTGGTCCATTTAGTTGATAGACGCAGTCTCGAGCTTCATCCTCACCCGTGGTGAGCGAGGAATAGCAAGAGGACGTCTCTAGTAGGTAGTTTCGTTTAGGCGCGCGTGTCTTGGGAGGCCTTTTTTCGGTGTTGAACAGGTCTGAGAGGTAACTAACATTACAGGGCCTTCATGTGATGCAATAGCTCCCAGGTTAGCTCTCGGTACCTGCTTCAAGTACCTATCGCAGACGCAGCCGAAGACTTTACAAGCTAAATGCGGGGCACTAATTCAATGAAGCCCCACGTGAATCCCTGGGGGAGACTGGGGTCACTCGACACCTTCGTCGTCACTTGCTATATGAGAAGCAAGATGTTATATGTGATAGTTGTTATTGTGAGTCGAAGAGGCTTGTTCAACAGGTACGTAGACAAATTGTAATTAGGCTGAAGCTATTGTCAAAGCGTAGCCAAACTCTACTCTCGTTTAATTGGCCTTCATTAAGAGAGCGAGACCGGTCCCCCTTAATAGCAAAGCCTCGGTACTCCCCTTATCGATAGCGATAATGCATCTGTCTTATTCAAGCTCGGGGCGTTCCGTCACCGTTGAATCCTCAAACGACATCAACCTCAACACAACGGGCATTTTGCCGTCCACCCGTCGAATATCTTAGCTATTGGATGAGCGTATGAGCCTCTCTGACTTTCAAAACTTTACTTCGCATTAAACGTAACTCTTCGTCTTGATCATATCTTCTACATCTGATTCAACCCCCACATAATCCCCAGCCATGGCGGAAGCTGATAACGATCATGTCTCGCCCTTTGCACCACTCATGGTTGAGCTGGCTCGTATGAGGAATAGAACCCTCAAGTCCGCGATCGATGATGTAGATCAAGTCATTGAACTTCTTACAAATGCCCGCGAGCAGATTGCTCAAGGTGAGTTCTCTTTCTTCTAGAACCATCACCAACTAACCACTGTAATAGAACCAGACGCGACTCGAACTGGTATGGCCATGATGACGCTGCAAAATCCAGTCAAAGCCCGCTTCGAACGGATCACTACAGACCTAAAGGATGTTACCAAGGCGCAAAAGTCCTTTGGAAAGGCCCTCGATAAGGTCTGTCTATAAACTCTAGCTTTCAACGGCAACGGCATCTGACCGATACAGGCTCTTCCTCACCGAGAACTCCCCATGGAGACTGATGCCATGGCGGACCACCCACGACTTATCAACCGAGCGATAGCCATGCATCTTCTTCGCGAAGGACAATTTTCTGTCGCCTCGACATTTCTTAAAGAAGCTACCGATCACCCTCCCGGCCGCGAAGCTCACACCATTTCACAAACAGACGAGGATGGCGACGATGATATGGACAGCGAAGACGACCTAGAAGATGAAATGGCTGGTTTACATTCAGAGCATTTGCAAAACAAGTTTGCAGAAATGTATAGCATCCTTTCGCAGCTCAAGGACCACAACCTCCTACCTGCCATCAATTGGGCCCATGCAAACGGCGTCCATCTTGAGGCCAGAGGTAGCACACTCGAATTCGAGCTTATTAAGCTCCAGTATGTCTGGCTGTTTAAAGGGCCATCTGTCAACGGTCTCCCCGACGACCCTGCAAGCAATGGACTCGGCGGAGCCATTAACTATGCTCGCCAGAACTTTCCTCGTTTCCAGAACCGTCATTTGCTAGAGATACAACAACTTTCCAGCGCTGTGGTGTTCGCCCCCAACTTGGCCAACTCTCCTTACAGTCATATATTTGAGACAGAGTCAGCGTTCGAGGACGTAGCCATGTCGTTCACTCGCGAATTCTGCTCTCTGCTGGGCCTATCGGCGGAGTCACCTCTCTACATCGCCGTTACAGCGGGCTCCATCGCTCTTCCACGCCTGATCAAATACACAACTTATATGCGGGAGAAGAAGACGGAATGGACAACAGAGAACGAACTTGCGTTCGCGACACCTTTGCCCGAGTTCATGATCTATCATCCCATCTTTGTCTGCCCCGTAAGTAAAGAGCAGACAACTCAAGACAACCCTCCCATGATGCTCAGTTGCGGTCACGTTCTTTGCCGTGAATCTCTGAACAACATAGTTAAAGCAGCACGGTATAAGTGTCCCTACTGCCCGACAGAAGGTCACCTTAAGGATGCCATTCAGATCAGGCTGTAATGTACGGTTCCTGCTAGCATACATGCATGGCCATGTTACGTATCACAGCGCACTGCCACGTTGGGCAAGACGGATTAGCGTTTATTTGACTTTCATGAATTCAGCGAGGACTATGTTTAGGCTTTGGTTCGAAATCAAGAATGGAAAGCGGGCGTTTGGTATTTTGTTTTACAATTGTACCTGTTGGGATATTTCCCTTACTTCATAGACACGTCGATCCTTATCCAGCTTTAGCTGTGAAACATGCAACGTTCTAGCTGCAGTATTGTCTCGCATCATGCCTCGCAAAGTTGAAACCAGTGAGTGTATTGAGTCAGAATCCCGATGGTTTCATGACGTGATTCATATGTGAGCAGAGTCTCGCAGGCTATACGAGCACGGGCTATTTTACGAATACCTGATTTCACTATTTAATTCCTATCGGATTATCTGATCATGAGGACCCACAATCCAACTGATCAGGGGACAAAGTAAAAGTAACAAAAGAACTATGTATCAGCTCCTGGATCTCATTCCATGTGGTGGAGCATTGAACGCCTAATATGGTTGGATCTAACATAGGAAACAAAAAACAACCAAAGTAAATAGAATAAAAAAGTCCAAGCAAGTTTCCGACACCATGGGATATCACTTCGTCGCCTTCTGTTCACGCCGCACCCGTTTGGTCACCGTCCATCCTGAGCCTGCCCTTTGTGACTGGTGCCATAGAAAAGGGAAAATTTTTGTATCCTTTCGTAAATTCGTGTCTTTGTACAATGATGCTTCCAAAATATCGTTTTCGGAGAATCATGACTTGCGAGGGGCCGCTTAATCAATGGTCATTCGGCTGGGGATTTGAGGCTTGACATCTTGCATGTTGATTGAGTTGATGTCAGGCTTCTCCTCGACCTTGCGCTTTCGAGACAAAGACTGCAGATGGGGCTTCAGACCCTTGCCAAAGTTTCGCATGCACATGATGGCGTTGGTAATGGTGAGAAGGATAAGAAGAATGGTGATAACAGCAAAGGCGGTCAACGATCGACGAACGGCTTCGTAGTTTTGTCGGTGTCCGGGCTGGTAGATTCGTACAAGCTTGAAGATGAAGTAGCTGAGGCCTCCGAGATAGAGGATGATGATGCAGACCATGCCGATCTTGTTCTCTCGTCGAGTGAAGAAAGCGGCAGCGAGAAGGATGAGAATGGTAATAGGAATGGTGACGATAGTTAGGGCGAATTCAGGGTCATCCTTGTCGGCAACGACGACAACAAACTGAACAATGAAGCCTAGGAAGAAGAAGAAATCGAACTTGAGAAGAGCGATATAAATCTGATTCGAGTTAGGCATTGCTCAAGTGAGTGGGTGAAAGAGTGTAACATACCTGGTAGTGAAGGAATCGCTTCTTCATGCGATAATCGGCACCAATGTTCTTGAGAATATCCCAAGCATACTCCTGATAAATCTTCCACGAAAGGAAGCCCATGACAAGGGTAGCGAGGGCGATGATGGCAGGGATAGCCACCAGATAAGGCTTCACATCGTGCCAAAGCTCGGCAGCAGTCATGCCACGCTTGAGAGCATTGCTCTGCTCGAGAATATCGAAGGCCTCGGAAATTTGATCAACCTGGATAGTCGTATAAACCATGAGGGCGAGATTAGAGAAGCAGACACCAATGACTTGAATGGTGTTCTTTTGTCGGAGAGCATCCCAGACGACAACAAGGGTGTAAAGGAAACCGAAAATGAAAAGCGTCAAGAAAGTCGGGATAGTCTTGTATTGAGATTGGACCTGGGGAGCGCTGATATGGGTGCCAAGGTTGACCTGGAACTTGCCGAATACATAGCTAGATAAGGGGTCAGCGAGAGGCAGATGCCGAAAGATACGGGGATGACGTACGCCTCAAAGCAAATGCACAGAATAGCCTGGAGAAGAGAAACAGCCATGAAGGAAGCAGGCCATCGGCTCTTCATAAAATCGATCTTGCCATTCTTCATACTTTGCGCGGGAACTGAAGGGGTAAGACCTTCTCTATAGGCGAAACCCTGGTTGTATGCGGGATCAACTCCGGCCTCAGCGAAGTTGGGCTGGGCGAATGCGGCAGGCTGAGGAATAGGCTGTGGAGATGGAACTGGAGACGGAGCGTAACTATCATCTCCGTAGGAGTTGTTGTATGAATGGCCTCCGTATCCGAAGCCGGTGTCAGCTCCAAGGAGCGACTTGCGAGATTCTAGCCGGGTAGCCACGGTGGACATGGAAAAGACTCCGACCGGGAGTCACGGGGAAACAGTCGAAGTGATGAAAATGCTCGTCGATATCGCTCGACGGACGATGATGAAGAAGAGTTGCTGTTGTTGATGGAAGAAAATTCGACAGCGACAGATACTGAGACGCGGTGGTTCGGTCGGGGCGGTCGTGTCTAAATTAAGGTACAGGGTGCTTTGCTCACGCGGATGGCCACGGGTACCGAGGTGAGGAAGTACAGTACAGTAGTCGAATAAGGTTATACGAAAATTGGACAAAAAAGGAGTCGCGCGATGAGGAAAAGCGGAAGAGAAGCGAGAGACGAAGTGGCGATTGCGAGGGATTTGTTGTCGAGTTAATTGGTGGCTGAAAACGGCCTGACCAGGGAAATAATGGATATTGTTGTTGTTGAGAAGAGAGAAATGAGATGAAAGGAAAAGAAGAAGAGCCCAAGCGTTTGTAGTAAAAGGATGTCAGCTTAGTTTAGTCAAGAGAGAAGCAGAGCAGATGGGAGTGAGTTCCTTGACCTCCATAAGATTGGGTCGCTGAAACAGCCCAAGCAGGGGGTGGGAGAGGGCGGGCTAACTTAAAGAGCAACCACAGAGAAAGCCTGGGGCGGGCGAATCCAGCCCGGGGTGGCAGAGCACAGGACTCCAGGGGTTCAGGCGTTCTTTTTTCGCCTAGGTACTCTTTTCTGGGGTGCCCAGCCCGTAGCGATAACTGATGGAACTCCACTGACAGTGGGTGGAGTGCCCTGCCCTGGGCTTTTCGTCACTACCAGATCCTGAATTGGAGGTGGGTTCCCTGATTTCTGGAGACGGGACTTGGCCAGAGTGGACGGTTTTGCTGCAATTAGCATGTCTCAGATTATGTTGTTACTGTTTACGTCGGATGAGGCAGTCTTGTCTTGTCTTGTATAGTCTTGCGACAGTTTACTATCATGAATCCCGATTTCAGAAGTTACGACGCATATGGCCAAGAGAGACGTGCTTGAACACCTCATGCAGTCCTTCGTGTTACGGTACCGACCTTTACTGCACATTTGACGGGTGGAGTCTAAAATGAAATGGAACCGTAAAGACGGGACGCAGTATCCCGCCTCCAACGGTGGATTGCCTTAGCTTTCCACTAGGAACTGTAAAGTTACTGACTGGACTGTGTGGATGAACTCAATCAGCCTTGGGAGGGATCCCATATCCACCACACACTTTCAGAACTGCCGGAGTCAAAGGCGGTGCTGTCCATTTACTGGACGATGGCTCTGAATTTGATTGATATGCCGGTCTCAGAATAAGAGATCACATCATCGTAGACACTCTTCCTTGCCATACATCGGAATGACATAACTAATAAAGAGGGCTGGGCTATGTTGATGAGGGAACGAATGCAGATTGAAAGGACTGCGGCAGTGCAGTCATGCATAGTCTCCATTGTTAGTGCACAACCCAGCCATCCGCTGAAATGACACCTAAACTCACAAGCTAGCGTAACGATTAATACTCTGCACCATGCAATGGAAATATCCGTCGGACTCAGCCCATTCGTACAGCCACCTTCCGCTCTGATCAATCACAAGTAACTAAGGATCCAAGGTCTCTACCACCCATCTTGATTAAGGTGACAGGCCCTCTGAACTGGGATGACATGATAAAATGAGGCCGCTATGCATGCATTCATTGCCGGGACAAATGTGTTGGTTAGTTTCTAAATAAAACAAACAAAAATGAAGAAACAGTAATTAAATGGCGGGTGATCGTCCAGTGTATCTGATCATGAATCTGATTTACCACTAAGCGCATTTTCCTGCTTTTTAGCTGTCTATCAAATTCCCTGCCATTCCACGATATGCAGCCCTACCAAGGCCATCAATATTCAGCCACTGTCAAACCATCAATTCCTTCACTCTACTCAGCCGGCACAATTATAGTGAATACAATCAACTCGTGCTTCACTGCATAGCTATAATTATCACCTCACTTATGATCGCTGACCGTATAGCCAGAGCCAAGGATATCTCATGTTCCTGGCATAAGACCTTGCAGTGGTAATCTCTACCGATCCACAGAGGAGAGTTCCATAAATAAACCTGCAGTCGGTCCATTGAACAAATAAATATAGTACGTACATCGTTGCTACAGATGCATGTCAGCAGAAAACCCACTTCCATATTAATTGAAGCGTCGTCATCACCCAAGTATAGACAAATAAACTGGGAGACAGATATACAGTTCTCACACATGGTAATAATAGATCACATATGCAATTCCCTTATATTGGTTCTCGCATTGTACATACTTCAGATAAGCCAAGCTTTTTTTTATTAAATGGTGTGAACTCAAGTTCCTATTTCGTATAGAGGGTCTGGTAGGGCTGGCAGAGCCTCCAACTAAACTCTGTCCCCAGCCGTTGAGGCCCGCAAACGACCTAAAATCGAGGCTGTGTCGCCGTTGGAATGGTATGCATTTTATTGAATCAATTGAATTCGGCCATCGTTAATCTTCAACGGCCGGAAATCTAGTCCGTTCGTCTACGTAAATTGATCATGTATATCCACCAGTCATAATATCGCCAGGGTCTGGAGATGCTCCACGTTCATCCATGGCATGAATACAATAAGGGCGCCAATACTCCTCTCTAGCTGATATCTAAATATAAGTCGGATTATCGTAAGTCGAAGATTCTTTCTCCGAAAAGTTGCTTATCTTGTACCCAGTGTTTGTACTAGATATATGCACCAAAAACATTAGAATATCTACATCGCGAGATATGTATTGGACCCTCGCTTAAAGGAAGTCAAGATCCCATGAACCCCATCCATATCCTAGTACCGCTTCTTCATTAACCCCTCCTATACTTGAATCTGTTCCATTCAGCCATAGTGAATTAGTCGACGACTGTTGCGTGGCCCCGATCTGCCCTATTCTTTCGACCTCTTGAGTCTCTTGTGCATACTCGATCGACTGGAAGCATGTCGCTTTACCCAAGAACTGATGTAGCAGCCCCGTGAAACTAGCGATGCACTGCTTGACGAGCTCTTCTATGGTCTCGCCATAATACGCTGTGGCCATACCCCCTTGTCCTGTCAACACGCCAGCAAACTGTTGCATGATGCGAGCTGCTTCTTGTGCCACCGTCCATCCCTCCGGAAACGCTTCGAGAAGCGTGATCAACAGCACGACTTCTTCCCGGGCCGAAGATGATGCTCCCTCAGCCCTATACGATGCTACAAAATCATGCATCAACAACAAACATACTGGCAATAACCGACTCAGCGATACCCTGTTTAGGGGTAGTTGTCGTTGTTGAAGGAGCGCCGAGTTGGCTTGGAGTTGCTTCTGTGCAAACTCAAGTTGCTCCTGACGAGTGACAGCTGCAGCAGAACTGTTAAAGTGGTTCGGAAAGTAGAGAAGAATTAACAGGTGGTAATACTGAGCACTCAACCAGGTGATGCTGCTGTGAATAGGCAAATTATCTGCTTCCATGGGCGACATGAGACACCCGTTGCTGTACCAGTCCTCGATTTCAGACCGCAAGCTATTCAGTACCGTACGCCTGTCTGCTGGAGCAAGGCGTGCGGTTTCAGAGTTTTGTTGTAGGTGCACGGCGTGAAGAATCCGATATTCAAGTTGTCGGAGCTGGATGACATGCCGACTGGTCTGTAGGTTTCGAGCATAAACCGCGCGATCCGGACTGGCAAATTCTTCCACCGTGAGTCCTGGAAGCGGTACATTGGCGTGCTCGTCTGTAAAAGCTGCTGGTAAACCTTGGGACGCTGACATCATACGGTCAAGGACGAAGATACTCCAGTACAGTCGATGTCTGAGCTCGGTTTCCACCGCCGTACGTGGCTGTTCGTCCGGCCTAGTCAGACCTATAACCATGGCTTGTCGTGCCGCAATGCCGACGATGAAGTAGGCTGAGGTTGCTGCTGGATCAAACAAGGAGTACAACCCCAACAGGATAAGAATCTGTACAGACTCGATGGTTTCATTAGAGAGGCACTCCTGTATGATATCTGGGTATACCACATCGAACCGGCGTGCCGTATCACTGGGAATCTGTCCCGCACGCACCAACGATGTACATCCAATGGCCATGACGAGGTACAAGAGTGTCATGGGCGGATCCTGATCTGCAGGAGAGGCATCCCCGAGAAGTTCAAGATCTCGCCGTATTCGAGTTTGGTCAACAAAAGGATACGCCCTGTTGACGTGACGAAAGAAGGCATCGACAAAGCGACTGGGGGCAATATCAGGAGGGAGGGCCTGCCGTGCAATCAACCTTCGTTTTGTGACGGATCCATCTGTTGAATCTCCATAAGATAGACGACTGCTGGTGGTTCGTACACTGCCAGGATCCCTTTCCTCGAGGCGCATATCGACGCTTTGCCGTCCAGTTGAGGGGTGGTCTTGTCCACGTGTAGAGGGAAGAGAGCCTATGGTTTCTAAAGGAGAAGCCATCTGTCCTGGCACCCGTGATAGAGGTGACGATGCTGTCCCTAAAGTTGCGATGTTCCCAATACCGTTCCGTAGCCCATGGCCTAGTGCAGCACCCAGGTCGGTTCCTGTCTCGATACCTTCTATCACATCTTGTCGACCTGGCGGAAGGATGTTCTGTTCAATGTATTGGCTCAGCCATTGTACGCGAGAGCGCAGCTGATGAACTTGAGCCTCAGCATTGGCAACAGGATTAGTATAGGAACATCTCTGACCAGCGCTGGCACATAGAGAGCAGACGGGAAATGTGCGACTGCACTTCTTTTTGAAGCTGCGACACCTATCACAGGCCGGAGCTATGGGTCTCCCAGTTGAGTTCCGGCCCGCGACGACCGTTTGAGATTGCTTTTGCTGATCCTGCCGCCGAGCCTGCGCCTCTCTTTGGGTCGCATCCTGCTGCTGTAGCCGCTGGTCAGGAGACACTGGAGGTGAAGCGGACCGGGCCCGACCGACGTCCCTCGGGGATGGAGACACCCTGCGGAGGCGGAAACGGTGGATCGAAGCCTTCATATCAGATGCAGATGCCATTTTGGGTAATGGGCGTTGTCAAGAGTAGCGAGTGGCATGGCAATAAATGGAAAGGCTCCAGTAGCCCAGATGAGAGCGTTATCAATATATGATTGATATCGCGACTGGATAAGAAGGCATGTAGAGGTTTTGAGATTGCATGTCATTACAAAAGGAGAGCATCGAAGAAAAATATTCGATCACCTCATTCGTTGATAAGATGAGTCTTCAGAACAGCAGATAAAGGTACGCCATCGTGCCCATTGTTGATGGATGTTGATGGAGGTGGACCAAATTGCGTGCTTGCACGAGGTTGAGGTGCTATTCCTTCAATGGGCAGGGCACTTACGTTAGTGACAATTCGCGGAGCCGCAGGAACAAAGTCTAATCAACCCTGGTGAGTTATTAATGAGATACAGAGATTATAAGAATTGTGAATCTGAAGGTATAGCAAGTTCACATATTGATTCAAGTTGAATAGTCTCAATAGATACACATGTCTCAACGGGTCAGACTGGCAGCACCGGTCCTCCGATGCCCGGAGTCGGGGTCGCGCGGAGGCCGACCGGGATTTCCTAAAGAGGCAATCATACTCACAGAGACAATCATTCGACAGCGCCGAGCGGATGAGGCTATTGTGCGGGATCCATCGGCAGCGTCTTTTATCATTAATCGAATGAGATGAGGAGCCGTTCATGAGAAGAGCATCGAGCGGCTGAGAGTATAGATATATTACCTTGCTCATCCCACATGTTATCAAATGCTTGCTTTCCACTATTGTCAGTGCTGTTGTTCATAATTACTCACATTGCTACATTACTGTGACTTGGACGTTAGTTTCACGGCCTAGTAAAGTCATATCTGGGTCCTCAACTGTTCGAAACGACAACTTCAATATAGAGAAAGAATGGCGTTGGCAGATAAACTAGACGTTCGCCGAATCGCCATTATTGGTGCTGGCCCAAGTGGCCTCGCTGCGGCCAGGTAGTCACTGACAACACCACTTACATCCTCGGCCTGGTCACTAACACTTGCTCTAGATACCTTCTTGCAGAGAAGAAGTTCTCCAAAATCCGAGTCTTCGAGCAACGCGCCACGCCAGGAGGTGTCTGGAACTATACACCTCTAGCACGAGAACAAGGCTTTTCAGTTCCAAGAACTCAGCCCAGTTTCACCCCAGATCAAGCCTTCTGGCCTAACGACAATGGCGATGTCGAGTTCATGTCACCCATCTATGACCTCCTTGAGACAAACATTCCTCATTCTCTTATGAGGTACTCCGATAAAGAATTTCCTCAAGGCTCGTCACTGTTTCCTCGACATAGCATTGTGCTACAGTACCTTAAGGATTATGCCCAGGAAATCAACCCTCACATCTCATACCAGACACAAGTCTTGAATGTTGAGAAGCCTGATCCAAATCGCTCTCAGCCTTGGACGGTCGAGGTGCTTGATCTCAAAACTAACAAGGTGACCAAAGACGAGTATGACGCTGTTGTAGTGGCTAGTGGTCACTACAACGATCCATTCATTCCCGATATTCCTGGCCTCGTTGGGTTTGACAAGGCTTACCCGGGGGCTATTTCACACTCTAAGTTCTATCGACGCCCGAATGACTTCAAGGATAAGGTATGGACGCTTGTTCGCTCCTATCGAACATTCACTAACAGTTGCTCAGAAAGTCATTGTCGTCGGAAACTCTGCCTCTGGAGTCGACGTGAGCGCACAACTCTCTACTGTTGCAAAGCAGCCCATCTTTGTCTCTGAAAAGGAGAAACCCACCGTGATTCCACCCGCTAAAGAGCCATGGGCAGCTGGCGTCCCCGAGATTGTCGAGTTTCTCCCTTCTCAACGTGGTGTTCGCTTCGCCAATGGCCAAGTCGAGAACAACGTTGACGCTGTTTTATTCTGCACTGGCTTCCACTACTCGTACCCCTTCCTGAAGTCTCTTGATCCAACTGTCGTCGTACCTAGTGGAGGCCATGCGGCACATCTCTGGGAGCAAATTCTCTACACTGCGGACCCTACTCTATCATTTCTCAGTGTTCCACAGCGGATCGTTCCATTCCCTATTGCTGAAGCACAGAGTGCATTAATTGCTCGCTTCTGGTCTGGACGCTTGAACCCCCCTTCAAAAGCTGCTATGGAAGCCTGGGTACAGGAGCAACACGAAAAGAAAGGAGAAGGAAAAGCAATTCATGTCATGGCGTTCCCAGAGGATGTCGATTACATCAACCGTCTGTACGAACTGAGCAAAACCGCGACTAAAGCCCTTGAGCTCGGCCTCGAGAATGATGGCGAGGGCAAGAGACCGCCTTACTGGGGACTAGATAAGCGATGGGTGAGGGAAAGAGTACCTAAGATCAAGTTGGCGAGCAGAGCAGCGGGGGACAAGAGGCATGAACTGAGGACATTGGAAGATCTCGGATTTGATTATGAGGAGTGGAAGAGGGCAGTCGAAGAGGGGGAGAAGCTGTTTTAGACTATCCCATAAATTTCTTTTGACTCTAATGAAACAATCACTTGAACCGGCCCAAGCTTAACCCAAGTTGTCATGGTAATAGTCTCGAGAACCTCGTTATAAACTCTTCAGATCGTAGACTAATCTTACCAATGGTACAGTTTGGAGCCCTGACAACACCGCGTTAAATGATAATCTCTACCCAATTCACATGTATTTCGAGCATACAAAATGCCGCGATATGACTCAAAACAAATTCATTAGCAGCAGTCTAATTACAAACGCTCATATCTTTTTATATCCAATAACAAGTGCTTATATACCAAAAAGCAGTCTTGTTTCATGACTGCGGGTATGTTGAAATATCCTTAATAACACAAGAATAACATGGAATGCCGGTTTTTAGTTATCCGTCGTCTTTTCGTTACCTGTCGTGACACCCTCTGTGGCATCAACCTCCTCTTTCTCATCGTCACGTCGCTTCAGTGATTTGAGACCCGTCTTGTGCTCTTTATGCTCCTTGCTGAGGTTGACTTGCTTGATCATCAGACTGATAACGAGCGACAGGCCTGCAAAGCATGCATAGACGATATACATTGTTTGCAGACTCTTCCAGAATGCCGTCTTGGCGACTCTGCCATCGTGACCTGTCAGGGAGCCAACGAGCTCGACGCTGCCTGCTGCGTTGGAACCGGAAAGTCTGTCTGCGAGTTCGGTGCCGAGTTCTTCCTTGAGTCTTGGGTACTGGCTCTCCATCTTGTTGTTGAAGATGACACCGCCTACCACGACGGAGATTGATGTACCCAGTTGACGAATGAAGGAGAAGCATGAGGTCGCGGAACCAATGTCTCGAGGCTCAACGTTCGTCTGGAGTGCAATCAGAGGAGCCTGGAAGTTAGGACCAATACCGATACCGGCGACGATCTGAAAAATGATTATCTTTGCCCAGTTGGCGCGTGGCTCAAGGTTGATAAAAAGACCGAAGCCAATGACAGTGACAATCAAGCCCAGAACGATAACGAGCTTGTAATTGCCTGTCTTCTTGATGTAGATTCCAGCTCCAGCCGATACAAACGACAGAGAGAGCACATATGGAAGCAGATAAACACCAGAGAGCAACGACGATGCGCCGAGGACTCCCTGGTAGTAGAGTGGAAGCCAGTAACTGCCTGACATGAAGACAAATGCATGTGTGAAACCAACCCCATAAGATGCAACACTGTTTTGCGTGTGGAAGAGACGAATAGGAAGAACGGGGAACTTGGCGACTTTCCACTCGTATACGAGAAAGAGACCAACGACAAAGATGCCAAAGACAATAAGACAAATTGTCGTAGCAGAGTCCCAGGGGAAAGAAACTCCACCAAGCTCAAGACCGAGCAACCACATAATGGTACCGCCAATGATGAGGATACTGCCAGGCCAGTCCAATGCTAATAGACCCTCTTTCACGGGTGTTCGTGGATTGTGGAGCTTCAGGACGAAGACAAGGATGACGATGGCAACGGCTGAAATGGGGAGGTTAATGTAGAAACACCATCGCCAAGTGACCTGGCTGGTGAATACACCACCGAGAATAGGTCCAACAGCAGATGCCAACGCCCAAACCATACCCAAGATACCAAAGTACATTCCACGGTTTCGCATGGAGAAAAGGTCGCTGATGGCGATGTTGGGTAGAACGATGAGACCACCTCCACCAATGCCTTGAATAGCACGCGAAGCGATGAGCATGGCCATGCCATTGCTAACAGCACATAGCAAAGATCCGATCCAGAAGATAACGGCCGCAGCAAGAAGAACAGGCTTTCGACCAAAGATATCCGAGATCTTGCCCCATGTCGGCACGAATGCGGCGTTGCCCAACAAATATGCACTTCCTATCCAGATGTAACCCTGACTTGAGTGAAACTCGTTGGCAATAGTAGGAACGGCTGTGGTAATAATGGTCGTATCCAAAGCGGCAAGGAAGAGCGCAAGACATAGAGCACCGACTACCAAGATCGTCTCCGACTTGGTCCGTCCGGCCTCGGGGTCACCGGTCTCAGGTGCCCCGGGAGATGGGCTGCTGCCGGCCGGCGTCGTCCCCGGTCCTTCGGACGTTGCTTCGGCGGCGGTAGGGTTTTCAGAGTCTCCATTCGCTGCATAGGTTCCATCTCGTTCAACATCAAGAGTGCTATCTGAGCTAGTCCTCCGCTCTGGTGTTGGTGTTGAAGCAGCCATCGTTGCTCAAGAAAGCCCAAAAGGCTAGATGAAAAGACAAGACCCCTTCTTTTCCTTCAGCTGTTTGGAATAACTAAAAGTCGTCGACGTAGTAGCTGTAAAGATCCTTGTCCGGAAGCCGGCGTTGACCGCAACGGTGATTGCTAATCAGGAACCTGTGGTTTTCTCAATACGGTTATATTTGGCTTGGTTAATATGCATTCAGTATACGACGGTGAAAGATTTTCAGATGAGCATCCTGATCAAAAAGGGGAGAAAGAGATTGAGATGAGTTGAGCTGTTGTAGTCAAGTCCATTGTGATCCTTTCTCCGAAAACGGGACCACGCACGCAATAACCATGACTACCGTATTAATTAATTAAATCCGAGGCGCGAGGGCGAGGCCAGGAACTTTTTTCCAGCAATTCGGCAAAAGGAGCCGTCTCGTCTCTTGGAGGGTGGAGAAATAATCCCATTGCAGTGAAATAAGAACGTCAACGACATCAACCCCAAGAACAAGGGTGTGTGTGGAGTCCGAATATTATTGCCGGGGCATAATTCCGTAAACTTTTACGTACTCGCCTCCAAGATGATCCTCCGGCTTATTGTATGAATCTAACGAATGTAAGTGTTAGCTTGAGGAGACTGCTATAACCACAGTCAACTACCCATGCAATTGCTCACCGGAATGACTCTTCAGTTCTTGCGCGTCTCATGATCTTCTTGCT